GAACCTGAGGTATATATATATATATAATTATTCATCTTTACATTTTATATTTTCATATTTTTTGTCTCTCATATGTATTGGACACAGTGGATATCCACTTCATTGTTATCTACTCACTTTGTCAATAAGAATAATTATTCTTGGACAATAAAGTACAGTTTGATTTGATGATTTGATTTGATATAAAAATTTGGTGAATAGTAGAAAAATTAAATCAATATTAGATAGATAGATACGTTTATTTCAACAGAGTACTTTATAATCATTCACAAGAGTGGCGGAATATTATTGTCTGAGAAGTCAGTGAAAAAAAAAAAATTGACAAAATATCAATATGTGTACAAAAAAAATATGAAACATTCAAAATGAATGGCTTTATATTTCTAACACAGTCATAAATATTTCAAAACGTTCGTCATATTGCACATGATTATTGAAAATAGAGATAATTTCTATAATTTTACTGGCTGACCAGTCAAGCGTTGTTTTGCAACATAAATTATTTCTGAGGTAGAAAATAATAATTAACTCATTGTAAGAGTGTTTCAGAACGATAACACTTACAAAAATATTCAATCTCTTGTCCCGTTAGTCTATGTTTAGCTACCACAAACAAACTTGCCAATCTAATGGGAAATTGCACATATTTCAAATGAATTGGCACATCTGTAGGTATAATAGGGATTTAAATTGTTGGCTTCGACAACGTTTTTCATTAATTTTTTGATGACTTATCGCGTGCAGTTGCACAGCCGTGGTGGATTCAAATTACGGAGCGATCCAACCTCCAGTTGTTAATTATGCGGTGGTATGCCTGGCAATTCCAATGAGTCCAAAACTTTGCTGGATGTTCACAGCTTTGGTGACATCGCGAAACTATTCATCCTCGATGGATAAACAGTCATAGTCGCCAACCGGCTACCGTTCAAAATATTTCTTTCAAATCATCCATCTATAACTTTGTGCTCTCATCTCATGCAGTCTCGAACCTTCCAGCTTCCCTCTCTTCACTAGAGGCAAGGACAAGGTGCAGTTCACGTACGGCGTATACCTCCTGAACAAGAACCTCGCGCAGTTTCGCTGGTTCCTCAATATGAACACCGTCGACCTGAAGGCGACCCTCCGCAACCTCCTGACGTTTCTGCAGGGTCCCGGAGAGTTATCCGCAGCTTCCACCAGAACTCTGCCGCCTCCAGACAGGTCGTTGACCGGCCCCAAATTCGTTAGTTTACAGAGAATCGCTTCGTCATCATCGACTATATCCGATACTATTTTAGACAGCATAAGGCGGGAGAAACGAATCTCGCGGTCCATCAGCCCGACTACCATGAAGAAGTTTTCACAACTCGGCAGAGGGAGCCCCGAGCGAGGTGGGAAGGGCTTGAGCGAAATCCTTGCAGTTCCGGAGGCGTACCTCAACAGGCAGATCAGTTCGGAATCGTTTAGGAATTTCGCTAGGACGGAGAAGCTGATGGAGGTCGAGGAGAGCGACGAGGGAAGCACAGGTGAGTGGGAATAGCTTGGTTCGGGGTTGCTTAGCGCTGACTTGAGGTTTCTGATAGATTATTATTATTATTACTCTTTATTAGCAAATAATGCTCTTCATAGTTTGCCAAAGAGAACAATAGGATAAGCAGGTCTCTCGAGACTAGCGCTGAAAGCGGAGTAGATTTCGAGCTGAGCCCTGAGCCCCATTTGGAGCCTTCGCGAAATAGTCCGAGCGATTCACGTGAAGAGCAGGTTCAGCGGGAATATTTGGCAGAATGGCTGGAGAGCAGCCCCGGTTCTATTTGTTCCAAGGAAGGCTGGCAAACCGATACGTTCTTCAGTCTTTCAGCTGCTGAGGCTGCTTTGGAGGCTCCATTAATGGCTAGGACTGACGCTTTACTCAATACCAAGTCGTTCAATTTGATCAGGCCGAGGCAATGAGTATGGATTTCTGATTAGATTAGAATGTGTTTGTAATGATTATCTCATTATACGTTTTGTTTGGAGTTTTATTTTTTGATAGCGGAGTTAGGATATGTTCATATCATTATAACTAATTCTGAAGCTATATTCGAATGTTTTTTGTATGCATATGAACACAGGCATGAACAAAATTGAGAAATTAATCAAAAGGTATCAGACTTTTGACACACAACAACATCAAAGAGTCTGGTGTCACGCAAATAGTGTGTTGTTTGGCTTTGGGAGAACCAATTAGCCGACACCAAATAGAAAACAGTATATTTTGATGTAGAACTTCTTCTGAGTAAAGATTTTGATAGTGTGATGCCACAGTCCTTCCTAATATCAGGGAATAATGCTGAATACAGCATAAGTTTAACATTCGAAATGAAGGGTATATCGTCGAAGCAGTCGTCGCAAAACGCCGTTCTTTCATGGGTCTCTTCAATCTTAGGAACAGGGAAAAGTCGCAGAGGACCAAATCTGGTGAGTACGGGAGCTGAGGCATGATTATGGTGTTGTTTTTGACCAAAAAATTACGTACAAGTAATAACGAGTGAGCCATGAATTGGTTTTCTACAATGCATGGCTGAATGTTCAAATTTCGCGGGCTACTTACATTCGATTAGCGATTTTTTATGTTGGTACACTCCTCTCGTACATATGTTCACAGTTTCAGCTGTTTAGCTTATTGGTGAGAGGCATAGAAGTTGGAAATGTTCGGCGGTTTTCTGCTATCGAAAAAAATGTCTAAAGAATTTGTTCAAATTTCGCGGGCTACTTACATTCGATTAGCGATTTTTTATGTTGGTACACTCCTCTCGTACATATGTTCACAGTTTCAGCTGTTTAGCTTGGTGAGAGGCATAGAAGTTGGAAGTGTTCGGCAGTTTTCTGGTATCGAAAAAAATGTCAAAGAATTTGCATCAAATTTTGTGTAAAAAATTAAATTGAGTGCTCAAAAACACTTAAAATGATCATGGAATAGATCACAGAACATTCATTTGGTTTGAAGCTTTGAGAATCGTTTGTTGCACAGCAAATCCTTCACATATACACTTTGCAGGTTTTTACAATTTTGCTTGAACACATTATAGCACGCATACTTACAAAAAGGATTACACGTCATTAACTTATCACATTCAATAATACAGTACAGATTTTGTTTCATTAAAAATGTTTTCAGCATTCCATTATAATTGCAATAAATGTAAAACCTTTATTGTGTAGGGTGCGAAGTGTTCATGAGAGGAAATTGCTGTCTACAGACACTGATCATGGTTTATTGTTGAACTGATCATAATTTACTGTTGAACTCATCATGATTCACTGTTGAACTGTGTATTTGGTAATTTACAGATATAATGGTGTATGAATTCACAATTTCAAACGGAAATCGTAAAAAAATTATGATGTAGATTTTTGAGACTCCATCAACGCCTCCATAAAGTAGAGTTTTCAAACTTCATTAAATTGAACCTACCCGTTTCTAAATGAAGATTTTGTGTAGATGCAATGCTAAATAGATTTTTATTTGAAAAACAAGCCAGGCACCCTACCCTTTAGCGCTTTTGATACCAATTTCTCCTATGCAAAAAAATTATGGACTCTGATTGCTGGACAATCAGCCAGTCGTGATTTGAATAAAATTGGGAATCAAAAATTCTTACCATATTTCAACTTGCACCTGGGTCCATCAGAAATGTAAAGATCAAGAATAAAATAAGCTTTTCTATGACTATTGACAAAAGCATCAAGAGGCTCATTTCATGATTTTTGGTTTACAGTTCATTTGGTAGTAATTTCAAATTGAAAAATATTGTACTTTGTTTGAGCTCTCTAAATAGCGTTGTTTTTCCATAATCAATCATTAAAATCATATTTTCTAGGCCAGTGACGTCACGGGCCTAGTCCCGCTTCTTGTTCGATTGATCAATTGGAATAATACAAATAATGAACATTGCCAAATTGTAAAATTCACGGAGCGTATAAACAGTTTCTGATTCATTCGTGATTCAAAGTAAAATCACACTCACTTCCGACAACTAAATCTAAGAAGAAAGTTTAAGAAATGAATTGGAAGGGAGAATTAATTATACATGGGATCCAAATAACACAAAACGCAATAAAAATGTTATTGTTTCATGTTGATATCACAGAAATTTTAATAATGGAAGTGTATAAGAACCCGTTAACGTCTAAATTCATGAAAAATTCTCCATATGAAATAAAATATACTCGAAAACCATGGTTCTAAATAGAATTTAACGAGCTATATTTTTAAATGGTTCTAGAAGGCTCATGACCCTAATAAAATATATCAATTATGCATTCATGCCACCCACCAAAAATAAGAAATTCAACGTTATATATTAGCCTTATGGCTACCCAGTCAGCTATCTCTCTTGAATGTACTCTTTCTAATGTTTCATAACTTGACACTTGGCAACACCGATGTAGACACGATCAATTTTATTGGTCAACAGACACGCGGCTAATTTAAACTCTTGCTTCTCGAATTTTTCTTTTTTCTGCAAATATAAAGAGGTAGTGAGACTGATTACGCTCGATAAGTCTATACGCAAACCAGTATCATTTTCAATAGCATGAAACAAGCCCATTATGTGACAGTTTCTTGTTGAGTGAGCAGGTAAGCAGTCAAAGTGACCCGTGACTCGCCCCTTAGGACCAATCTCAGTTGATTACCTGTTTGTGGATTACATTCATATCTCACTACCACGAGGTCAATCACAGATGAGCAAATTCAATATTTTAAGTAAGCCTTGAAAATTTTCAATTTTGAAATGTGTTTCCAAATGTTGAACTTATACGTTGAACTACAACTATAAAACATGGACTCTGGAAATGAAAACGAGTGTATCCCACCAGAAATTTGAAATGTGGCGAAAGGATTGATATTTTTGGAAAGTGTCACGTAACAACAAAATGAGAGTAAATCAAAACTTAATAAACAGCTTTTGTGACACCAATTTGTAAGCATCTTTGTGTAGTTGTTCGTACGTTGGACTGGAGTGCTGGTGGTTCTGGGTTCAATTTTGGGCTCAAGTCAACTTTTATTTTACTGAGTTTTCAAACTATTCGAATTGAATGACATAAATAGGAATTATTTTTGAATGCTTCTTCAGGTTATTTAATTGTATTTCCCCCGTTCAGGATATCCTTAATTAATGNTGGCCCGTTCTCGCTCTAATGACTGCGGCTACATTTCTCGCTCATTGAAATAATACTAAGATTTGTTCATATATTTTTATTTATAACAATCACCACGATAAGGGCACATTTAACAAAGTAAAAATTTGTGTATATCAATAGTATGCTAGAAGGTAAAGCGAATTACTACTATTTGATTTCCTGTGCATAATCCTATCAACAAAATAATATATCACGAAGCAATAAACTCAATTATATTAATTTCATGATAAATATGGTTTATTGTGAAGAAATATTAATACAGTTCAATCTGTTTTATCCATAATAAATAACTCGAATATTTGTAAAAAGTGCTTTAAAAGCATTCATAAAATTGAAATAACACTGGGAGAAAAAAAAAAATTAAATACCATGTTCAAAAACAATCACACTAAATTCATAAACATTTTGTACTTGGAATGATTATACACATCACATCTTTAAACACTATTTACATTATCGACTCCTGAAGAATCAACTGACATTGTTTTCTTTTTTCCATTTTTTAATTTCTTCAGCCAACTCAACGTTAGGTTCTACTTGATCCAAAGAAAGGGGAGACCTGTTGAAAGGGTCCGTTTGGTCGCTTAGAAGATGCCTTGAAAAAACAATTAAGTAATCAGTTGTTTGTGTCCCAACAGCCAGTTGCCTATAAATAAAATGGGTGGACTGTACAAAAATTAAGGTTAATGTTCAAATTTCGCGGGCTATGTATATTCCATTATCAATTTTGTTATTTTTCATGTTGGTATACTCGTTTCGAACATATGTTCACAGTTCCAGCTGTTCAGTGTGTTGGTGAGAGGCATATAAGTTAGAAGTGTTTTCTTCGATTAACATCAGGAGTTCTTGCCACGGTCAATTAGCCACCGTATTCACCAGATTTGGCCTCTGTGACTTTTTTCTGTTCCCAAGATTGAAGAGACTCATGAAAGGAAGGCGTTTTACGACGATTGAAGAGAAAAACCGAATCGCTTAGAAAGCTCAAGGACATGCCAAAAAGTGCTTATTTGAACTGCTTCAAGAAATGGAAAAAACACATCTGAGGGGGACTCCTTTGAAGCGGATGAAGACGAAATGTTACATATTTAAACAAAAATGAAAAATTAAATATCTATAGGTTCAGATGAAATTCCCTCTGCTTCAATAAAGGAATTTCGTAAAGATATAGTCGGTAGTCTAACCCATTTAGTAAACTCATTTGCATCAGGCACATTTCCAAACTGTCTTAAATCAGCAAAGTTAACTCCAGTGCATGAAAAAATTCACAATTACAGACCAGTATCAGGCAGACTAACTCACTTCATCAATTAATTCAGACTCAGACCAACAGCATGGTTTTCGGAAGGAAAAATCCACAGCAACTGCAACAGTTGACTTTTATAATGATGTACTGTCCGAGATCGACAAAAGAAACTCCCCTGTTGGAATTTTTTGCGACTTAGTGGGGCTGTTGACTGTATTCCTCATAAGGCACTGCTGCAAAAACTTTGGCTTTGTTGCATACGAGGAATGGGGAATGTTCTTCAATTTGTAGTTGTACAAGTTGCAGTTGTAGACGAAACGTCATACATAAAACCCGCAGACGACGGCCAAAATATCCGGAAAATAGCTTTGACATAGTTATCTCCGGCCGTTTAGATCAGATTGTTAGTTTAAAATTTGGAATTTCGATACATTCCGATTTTGAAGTAGGAATTTTGGTAAATTCCAACTTCAAAATTTTTGGTAAATTCGAAGTTTGAAATTCGAAATGTCATCAAATTCTGACATTGAAATCGAAATTTATTTAAATTCCGACTTCAATCTCAAAATTTCGATCAGATTGTTAGTTTAAAATTTGGAATTTTGATAAATTCCGATTTTGACGTAGAAATTTTGGTAAATTCCAACTTCAATCTCGAAATTTTTGGTAAATTCGAAGTTTAAAATTCGAAATGCCATCAAATTCTGACATTGAACTCGAAATTTATTCAAATTCCGACTTCAATCTCAAAATTTCGATCAGATTGTTAGTTTAAAATTTGCAATTTTGATAAATTCCAATTTTGAAGTAGGAATTTTGTTAAATTCCAACTTCAATCTCGAAATTTTTAGTAAATTTGAAATGTCATCAAATTCCGACACTGAACTCGAAATTCGACTTCAATCTCGAAATTTTTGTTAGATTTTGAGTTTAGAATTCAGAATTTCATCAAATTTTTACTTTCAATCTCGCAACTTTTGTTAAATTCTAGAGTTTCAGTTTTCGGCTTTTCATTAAACTCCTACTTCCTCAAATTCCGAATCTCAAATTCGAATCTCATTGATAATTGTCAAAAATCATTTGCTGTCTTCCTAGAAAAACCCCTTCAAAACAAAAAAACATACCTCGCGATCGTGCTCCTATCCACCGTCTGCCTCGAACTCGGCAACACGACCGGATCGTTCATCAGCGTCGACATGATTGGATCAAAGAAACGCTCGGGTGCGTTCGCCAATGCAGCGTCGTCCGCCTTCAACTGTTCCGCCTTCGCGGCAGCCTTCGAAGCGACTTCTTCGAGCGCGGCGATCAGCGCGCCCCCACCCGTCGTCTTCGCGAGTACGTTCTGCGCCAGCACGAACAGCTCGGCGCTGTACGAGCGGCCGTCGCGCGATATCGCCGCGCAGAACGATTCGTCGTCTTTGAGGTTGACGTAGATCGAGCAAATCTGCTGGACGATTCGAGCCGGGTGGAATTCGTATGATGCGGGGTTCTTCACCTGAAAAGTGGAATTCATCAACAGAGTTGTTACTATACGAGGTTTGGCTAGAAAATGACAGGATTTTTGGTGCAAGTATTTTCATTTTCGTTCCTTTACAACGTCTACCTTATATATGGATAAAATTATGAAATACCACTTCTTGTCGCAAACTTTTGATGTCGGGGTTATTAGTTGCAAACATGAGCTGTTTTAATTTACGCCTGAATCGAGATCATTAAATCGCGATTCATTTTTTAAAACCAATCATGGAATCAGTTTCACTCAAAAAAAACATCTTTTCGTTTTGATCCGAAAGACATAAAAAAAGTGTTGAAATATTAAAAAATGTGTGCTGTTTTCACGTCTTCTTTGTCAAACAATAACCATCACTGGAATATTTGATTCATTAATCAATTGACAAATGAACATTCCAATAATTGCCACAAGGTGGCATAGCAAAATTCAAGGAAAATTTTATTTTGCATGCATAGATTCAAGTTGAACATTTCAATCTGAGAATGATTGCCACGAGGTGGCATTGCAAAATTCAAGGAAAATTTTATTTTTCATGCATAGACTCAAGATGAACATTTCAATCTGAGAATAGTTGCCACAAGGTGGCATTGCAAAATTCAAGGAAAATTTGATTTTGCATGCATAGATGTTTTCAGGCATATTAGCTCAACTATGGTAACTATAGACTATAGTGGAATATAGTTATTGATATAAAAATGAAAGTACTTTATCTTCTTAAAGTAAAATCACTTCCGTTTTCACTACAAAGAATAATAAATTTTGCAATAGACTTACTCATAAAACCTTGCTACCATACCTTGTAGTCTTTCTGCTGAGGCCCTACCAACTTAAGAAGGAAGTAATTCAACATGGCCGCTATCCTATCCACCATAGTTGAATGCGTGAAAATGGAAGACATGTCCGAAGTCAACTTTTCTAACGTCAGGATCGTGTCTCTGCCCATCAAATTGTCGAATTTGATGAGATTCGACAAATGCTCCATATAACGGTCGTTCTGTTCTAGTTCTCTGTCATTTTGCTCTGTTTCTTCATCATTCGACCTGGTGCGATTATCCCTAATTCAAACCGAAAATACAATCACGTCTGAATATTACCTAAAATGTTTCTGAAGCTGTATAAATATCCTTTAAAAAAAGGCCGCAGACGTGGTCATCTTCTCAACAAAACAAACAATATGGATATTCCACCAGCTTCAGGCTACAAAATACTCTCGCTTACACCTTTGGGACAGTTTCAACGTTCGGTTTAGTTCAAGTCTTATTTTTAGATAAATTTCAACTAAGTTCAAATCTACAACAAAATTTCGGTACTATATAAGTAAACTTTTTGGCTACTACAAATGCCCAATTTTAAATTCCACTACTGTTCCGTCCATTATTCACGTTAATAAAAAATCCTCATAGGTTATCTGCGACAGGAATACATAAAACGATCATATTTGTCAAACTACAATTTCGGTTTGATGGCCCTTATTCGAACAAAAAAAAAACGCGAATACATTCAAAATGGTGCTGGATAAATATCAATCGGTCATGACCAGCTCTTCTTCTTAATTTTGAAAACGGACAATATAAAATGGACATTTAGCCAGCTTCAAGTTACACAATTGTGTGACGTTCCACATTGTCTAGGTTAAACCTACCTTGCTTGTTGCATTTCCTTCAATTTAGCTAAGTTCATCAAGGCATCGTCCAGTAAATAAATAGCGTCGTTGATGACCAAATTAATGAATTTAAGAAACAGAGGTTGGTTTGTAGCCTCGATGTTCTTTTCAGCCTCTTTTCCTTCCAATCGGAAACATTCCCTCAATTCCTCATACTCCCAAATGCATTTGAAAGCAGAGTAGATCGGCCTACGATAATTGAATTTTTGTTCGAACTCCGTTGTTTCTATAGCAACATAAACGTCCATTAGACTGCGCACAATCTGCAGCCGATGAGGATGTTCTCTAAACATTTTTTGAGTATGCAAATTCATTGAATTGTCTTGCGGTAAGAGGCATTCCATACATTCAGCCAGTCTGGCTCTGATGTGGGGATTTTTCATGTACCGTTTGGAGCCCATATAGATCAAGACGAAGCTTAGAATAGGAGTCATCTTTTCATAGGGTTGCAGATCGAACGAGCGTGGTGCGATGCGAGTTATGAAAACCAGATACGAAACTATATTTTCTATGATGAATTCTGGAACACATCTGAAACGAAAATATTTTTATTGGTCCATTTAGCGAGTTTTTTGTGACCATTTGACATTACCAGGAAGTTAAATAATGGTGTCAGGTGTGGAACACCTAAAGAAAATGGAGTCAGGAGTGGGATGCCAAAGAAAGTTACATGAAAAGAGTTTTCATCAGATTAGAAACATTGATTGCAGAAAAAATTTTTGAAGTATTCAAATCAGGCAAACTTTTTTTAATAAGAAGGAACATGTTATTTTAGTGTCAGTTGCGGAACTGAAAAAAAAATTTGGTGTCAGGTGTGACATAATGGCCAAAAGTAATTGAAAAATTAGTTCAAGTGACAACAGAATTCAGAGCTCAATTCTCAATTCAACAACAACAATATGCAATCCTGAACAAATAAAAGTTTCAATACTCACTTCAATGTATCCGGAGCCTCATCTGGAAGTGGAAAGTTGATTGGCATTTCTGTTATGGGAGCATATTTCTTGGAATCTTTGAAATCGTTATGTACAGCTATTTGGCATAACCACAAACATGTTGCCGACGTGAAATCAAACATATTCTCTACCAGAACCGGCTCAGTAAGAACGCATTTCAGCGACAAACACCTGAAATAAGCATAACAATCTGAAAGGATGTACATTTTTCAGTTCTCTGACCCAAATTGAAAACCATATAAGTAATATCAATCATCAGTATACAATATATCTCAGTGAGTTAGAATCAAGCGGAAAACTTTGTTATTCAATAAAATTTCTGTGGGGACTGGATCCCAAAAATGCAGCTAGTGGTTTGTCATAAAATAAGAATTTTGCTCAACAGTAAAATACTTTTATTTCTGACGATATAAAATTTGTTATTGAGAGAAGTTGAATGAATTAAAGTTCTAATATATGAACTTTCATAATATCATCAACATAAATCATGTGAAATATCGGTCCCAGAATATATCCTTGTGGTACTCTCATCAGTAGTGAACATTAACCACGAAAGGTATTCTAATCACTGAAAAACTAGGGCTCAATAACATGTATTCATAAAAGATTATCAAAACTCAGTTTTACTTACTCCTGTATTATCAACTTCAGTAATTCTGTGCGTTCGGTCATTCGGCGTTCCAGGACACCATTAGCGAATAAATTTTCATATAATACCATCTCCTGAAAAATAAAATTGTTGAATTTACAAGAACTCTGAATATTATGACTTGCAATCACCTTATGTTTTCTGAAGAACTTATCTATTGCCACTCTTACACCCAAATCTATTGCCCGATGTGTCATGTAGAAACACTCGCTAATAAAATTGTAGTCCTCTGCTGTCGGTCTTACTTCTTCCACACCTTCTGTCGAGTCGACTGGCAAAAAACATGTCTCCTTCGACAGGTCTGGCAACCTGACACCCTTTTTCAGGCGGTCATCATTCTGAAAGACATACCTGATGTTTTAAATGAATAAATATTCAAAATTATATTTATTTCTTGATCACATTTCTGTATTTCAGCACAGAATTCAATCAATTTAATCATAGTCAAAATAAAACATGGCCTCAGACCCTTAGCAACCGAGGCCAAAAAAATGAAAAAAACACCAAATCGACAGACCATCCAGGCCGAAAAGCTTTAAAAACTGAAGCCAAAAAACTTCTTTTCATTACATTGGATTCGGCTGCTCGATCACCACATTCAAGCCGTGAAAATGAGAGGAGGAATATTTTTGTCTTCTTCTTCTTTTTTTTATTGTCTTTGCTTCACGGCGCAGTAGACCAGTAATATTTTTGTCCCTTCAGATTCGAATATCCTTAGATATACAGAAAATGTATCTCCATAGTGTATAGGCACACATGTATGATCAATACAGAAAAACAGTTATCTGAGAATCACGTTAATAATAAAAGATAATTGTCACATTTGAAAAATATGAAGTAATCGAAAAAATTCAAAAATGTTTTGACAAAATACTGTGCTAAAAACATTATCTCACAAAAAAATATGAATATCTCTAGTTCATTGCTTTTGATAAACAGTATTATCTTTCAGAATGCGGTGACACCATTCGAAAAATGAAGTGTAGATATCTATAATTTTTACTTTCAGTTCAGTCAGTAACTTGGAATTTGTAGCTAGGTTACGCTCTCCTCTCAAGTATGTTTCAGCTTTATATTGCACCAGCAATTCATGTATTACAATCAATGATTAAGTCTATCCTACTTACAGTAACGGCGCAGTACGTAGGATCGACCTTCAGAATCTTTTTATCTACGCAGAATGGTTTGCTCAACCTCAGGAGAACGTTTGCCAAATTCACCATATAACCATCATTGACACAGTCCAAATGGTCATCAACCTGGAACATTTCAACATGAGAAATTTTCCCTCGTCCGGCATTCTTGCCCAGGCAATTCGCTATCCAAACCAAGAGTTTTTCCCTAACCACCGGGCTGCACTTGAGCGCGATATGGAAGACTTGGGCCAGGCGTTGATTGTTTCTGTCTAAAAATCCCCACAGGTTATCTTGAAGGTTTTTGACGGCCACCTAGAAAAAATAAAGTTTAAGGAACGGGAGTGATTCTTTTTTCACTCAATGGCAGGATCAGAATAATATCCTAATGACCTTGATAAAAGTAGACCTTGATAAAATTTGAAAATAATAAAAATTGTAATAGCGGTTATGGGACGTAAATATCCCCAGAAAAGTCAATGAAACAAATCTCCAAAAAAATATTTCACTAATCAAAAATATTTGAAACACTAGTGACAGCCGGATATTCACCACAGCTTTAATACTTACCTCATCAATGGAATTGTAAAAATAATCCAACTTGCCAGGACGGGACTTGTCCAGAATGGACATATTCAAAATGGCCCCGATGGTTGTTTTAGCAAAGTTACTACCTGGTCCGGAATTTGTAGGCAGGCAGATATCGACGTAAATATCTCCCAGAATTTGGTGACTGAACATCACCTCCAAAAAACTGAATATGGACATATCAAAGAGCACCACGTCATTTTGAAGGATCAGGTGTAGGTGTTTAGAATTCATTCGCTTGATAAAAGTTTTCAAGCATAAACCAGCTGCAAGAAATAATAATAACTTTAATAATACTGAAAAAACTAACAAAATTGTAGAAATCATTATTCAAGTCAGTCAGAACTTAAATTAAAGCAAATATTTTGAGTTATTTTTATATCAAGTGCTTATCGCCATTTTTGTTGATTCTGTTAGCAATGTTACACAAAATTATACACTAGAAAAGGTGTGTTTGTCAAGTTTGTATTGTTATTGAAAAAATGGGAAATGCCACCTTCTTTTTTGCTACTTAGAATGTGTCTCCCACAATTGATTCGATGTTTGTAGTTTGTGTAGTATTCCATTTAAATAACGCTGAATTAACAAGTAATATTTATCACTCTAGTGGCAATATCATTTAGATAAATTGCATTTCAACATTAATATTCAGGCCACCGTAAAAACTAGTCATCTACTTACTGGCATCATCCTCGATAACTTTTTTGCTGGCCCTTAGGAAAAATTCAACTGCATTCGGCAGTTCAAATCTTATAATGTTAAACAGTTCGCCTTCCACATCTTGCCCCGTGTACAAGTTCGGCTGCATGATTGACGTCGCAAAATTCTGTATAATCTTATCTCTAATTTGACTTAATTCTAATGCTCCTAAATCAAATTTCTTTTCGTTAAGTTTCACATAACAGTGGTACAGATAATTTATGATGGTTTTGCTTCCGGCATACGTGTCTTCTTTGCTACCATCCTGGTGCGAACCATCATTAAACATAAGCAATCTTTCGAAAAGGGCATACTCCAACAAAGTTACATCCAGTTCAGTTTTGTTATAGTCTTTGTGCACCTCCTTCAAGTACAAAAACTGGGTTTTGTTCGGGTCCAACGTAAATTCGAATATGCTTTCTAGTATGTTGCTCAAAGGAGGTCTACGTTTCCTATCATCATCTTCCAGCAAAGCACTGAAAGGATTTGATGAAGACATCTTAAAAATGAGAGGAACTTAATTCTTTTTGCCTATCGTTCAACTACAACTACAAAATTTTTTTGTCAGGATTTTACCCTTTTTTTGGGTTTTTGAATTGATAATTATACATAAATATTATTTTACTTTTCGTAGTTATTGAAAAAGTCATGTGTCACATTGCTTAGCTCTATGTAGTTTTTTACCAAGGGAGTTCAACTACTCTACAGGATTGCTCAATCGTTCCAATTCATTTTATAATATATAGAGGTCAAGAACAGCAACGTCAGCATAATCCCTAATAATTCCTAACCTTTAATATATTTCAAACAAAAAGTTATCGATTGGAAAAATAATAAGATCAACCAGACTTCCTGAGAAGCTTGAAGAGAAAATGTGAAGTCTAATAAAGTGCAAACTGGAAAGTTTATTAGACATATTCTATACTGATTTAGCTTTGTTTATTTCTCAGATTGTGGAAGGTTAACCACCCGAAAAACAGTAAGAAATATCGACAACCTCAAAAAAAATGTCTTTCAAAGAAAACAATTACAGTTTCCAGTCCATGAAATATAACAATTCCAGGTTTGAAAACGAGACGATGATAATTTTGTTCTGGCGCGGAAAAACGGTTTTTGATAGATCAATTATAATGAATAAATCTTACAAAAAAATCGCACTAAAAGCTATTGCCGTCATATTTTCCCCAGTAAGTCGAATTTAATTTTTGAAATGAGAAGCCATATTCAATATCATCATTGTTTTCGAGTTAGTGGAGTTTTGATTACATTTAGACTCATTGATGATAAGGAAGAAATCAAAGAAAAAATGAATGATAACCCACTTGTCAAAATAGAACAGAGGATGAGGCACAAACCAAAAATATTTTTCCAACTGATAGTTAAATTAATAAATTTAAATGAAATAAAATAGTACACACAACATATACTTGATATATTTTAATTATGGGATAGCAAAATATAATTAGTTGTATCCCTAGCAACTTCTTGCACAAGAAAAACCACAGGAATAAACAAAGGAGATATGGCTTTCAACTGAACATAATGTATTCTACTCCTTCCTTCAAATTCAACTCTTTGAGATTTTTTTCAAAAACTCCCCCTGTCAAATCCTGAAACAATAAAAATGGCTGAATATTCTTCATAAAAATTGATAATTTACCATTTTAACACAAATAACAAACGGCGGTAGGGCATCTCCGTAGTGAACTATGTTTAGTTCAGGTCCGGCTATCTTATCATCTGGATAATAGGGCTTATATTTGTGCCCGATTTTATTTTTATCCACATCACACATAGCAGTGACTTTCTTCTTGTTTTCTACTCTCAAGGAGTTAAACAGTTTTCTGCCTTGCTTTCCCGCATTCCAAATCGTAAATTGCTGCCAGTTCTTTAAAACAACTCGCTCTAACCTCTCGACTCTCAAATTCCAAATAGTGCTCCTTGAAGAAAGAATGAGATGATGAATTCAAATCAAAATATTTTCATGTGACTCACTCATGAATTGAAAATGTTGTTTGATTGAGATGGAATGTATAAATCAATAAGTATTCGTCAACCCTACAAACTTTTCCACCTAAATCAAGATGTTTATTGAAAAATATCAAGTCTTCTGGAATGCCTTTTGTACTTTCAACAAATCCATCCACTCTGCAAAACGCAAATTTCAAATTATTTTTCACAGAAATGAAAAACCTCAGAAATCTCAACCAGTGATAGAAATTCCTCTAATTGTTTTTCATTATCATTTCAGTACGATTTGAACTAGATTTTACCTTAAATTTCAATCAATTCCCCCAAAACGACAGGAAACCTCGTGATAATAAACATTCAGAAAAATCTGACTACAATCATAATTAATTATCGATAACAGTACAATCGAATTCAGTCATAATGAATTATTAACAATAATGGGAGCCCCATTAGTGGTGTTAGGCTGAACCTCAATGCATTGCTGGACTCCACCGATTACTTCTTGCCATACGAAGACGCCATCTATGTCATCAACAGGGAACCCAATCCTTGAATATCAAAGATTAACGAGGCTCTCCAAGGCAAGGATCGAGAATATTGATTCGATTTTATGAACATTCAAAGCAATATTCATAACTTTGTTGGGGGTAAAGTACATGTTGTAATTGAAATATTTCAAAAAAAATACATGTGTGTTCCCTATTTAAAAAGCACAATTTTTACCGTTCGTAAACACTTCTGTGTAAAAACCAAGTAGGCATGATAACGGTTGGTCCATTGGAAGTAAACACCTGCAAATCCAGCTGGCTTTGCGACAAGGAGTTTGCCCACTTTGTATAGCGAATGGTTGAATCACTAGGTTCTCTTGTAAACCTGCAACCTATGATCTACAAAGATAACGGCTAATAACTGTCATCTACGAAGATTTGGTTACTGTTTGACTACAGTTGCTTACCATATCTTTTGGCGAATGGCAAGCTCGGTTATACTGTTTCAGGATTCTGTCAGGAAGCATCACATCATCCTGCAAATCCCCCCATTTGTTATAACCAAAGAAAACACTCGTACTTACTTACAATATCCTGAAAACACAAAAATTCCCCTCTGCTGAGACTAATCGCCTTATTTTTGGCAAAGCCCACTGAAAAACATTAATTTGAAATAACTGAAACATTTTTGATGGAATTCACCTCCTCCTGGCAATGTGCAATTATTGAATATTCTCAGAGGAATTCCAACTTGTTCGAAAGTCTCTTGCCAATGCTTCAACAAAGCATATGTGTTATCAGTACTGGAATCGTTACATACACATATTTCCAAATCAAGGATGCCAATAGCGCTTTGGCTCAGAATACTATCGAAACATCTCTTGATCCAGTTGGCTCCATTGAAAATTGGTATTATTATGCTCTACAAAATGTTGAGTAACTTGTGAAACCAGTGTTTGTAAATCAATTTGCTTACTATCAACGGGCTTTTGCCAGTCATTACAATTTATATGTTTACTTGTAATTACATTTGGAAACATTGCTGTATTTCAAAGTGTGGGACAGTTTGAATAAATTACGTTGGTGTTCAATCATTTTATTTCTACTGAACATATTTGGAGTCTTTGAACAATTACTTTGCGTTGTTCTGAACGTAAACATTGTAAAATAGTTGACACTTGACACAGCTAATTTTCAATTTTGAATTTTTAAGGTTATCGAATTTTGACATAGACGTGACAATATGGATTGGCAGTTACGTCACTTTTACATAATTCCACTGCGGATCACACACAGTTTTGGTAATGACGTCACTCCACAAAAGAACGTGATTGTGACTTCGTCATCAGTAATATGGGTTGCATACCTGGTAGTCAGAAATTTGTACCTAATCAAATAATAATTGAAATCGTATTTGCTGTATTCATTTTGATATTGACGATTCATTCGGGACTGCTAACACGGAGAATTGAAATTTTTACAATGAAAGTATGCAACACGTAAAACATCGAATCTGACGTTCAAGTGCAAGAGTGACATATTGCCAGAACGTGGATCTCTCCTTCTTTTTTTAGTTATTGGAGCAGTATTTTCTGTTCAATGACCAGTCTATATTGTGACGTCAATGAGATGTGATATAAAAAATTATTAAGAAATGCAATACCTTTGTATATAGACTATCCTATATACAAAGATAATACTGATGAAATTGAGCAGAATATAAAAAGTGTGAAAATAGAATGTAGATAATTTAGGTTGTCATGTTCAAAGTGGCGCATAAATTTTCTGGCTGCTCTATGGAATAACCCTAGAATTAATATGAATCACGTTTTTGATGCAGGAGCCTCACAGAACTCCTCAATAATGAGTTCAATGGGGAGTCTTCACTGCTCAACATCGCTTGTCTTTTGCCTGTTATATAGTAAATATGCGGAAACTCAGTTGATGCCTTGAATCGGTTCTGTTTCGTTTATGCAATAATGATAATTTTATCTGGAACACATTATATGAGTTGTGATGAATATGAATGTGCCTCTGAATGAAATACGAATTCTAACTTCCCAGGTTTTTTTTTTACACGGACTGCCCACTTTTTATCGCCGCCATTTTGAATCAAATTCTGTAGTCCCTCATTAGTTCATTTATTTCTTATACATTTACATCTACTTCTTTTTCAGACACTTATCACTTGAATACATCATGTTTTGGTTGTGAAAGTCGCTATTTTTTTCGCCATCACAATGTGCAGCATGAACGAAATGTGTTTCAGTGTCATTTTTCAAAAGCGGCTTAGGTTCTGAAATAGGCAAATGCCAATTCATTCTGAAATTGTGAAAGAGATTTCTCAAATATAAGAAAATTTTGCTTCGATAACGATAAGCATTGTCCGACTTTCACATACATTGGAAGGAGATCAAAAATGATTGACATTAAAGTACTATGGGTATCATTCTCATATTAGGTCTATACTAGGTGAAAGCAGTTTCTATTTCAGTTATGCATCATAGATGAGAGTTATTGTAATTATTATATTCAAAATCAATCAACACAGCTATTCAATTTTTGCAGTAACTAGTAACAACCTTCTAGCGTCCTTTTCTGTTGATTTTTCCCTACTAGAATGAAACATTCGAAATATGACAATCTATCAACCAATGAAAGTACGACACATATATTTCCATTGAAGTGTTCGGATCAGAAATCTTGTATTCTTTCCTTCACTTAACCATTCATTTTTGGCAGAAACTAACACACTCCATGAACAACGAACAGGTGGTTGAAAAACCTGAAACTAGGATGTAAGTGGTTATCAGCTGATAATTGACAATTATTTGTTTTTTCGAGTGATTTTTAAATCGCCCGTTTCTGGGATTTGTCATCAAATTTTTATCACTTCGAGCGAGTTTTCTACCTCATCAGTATTATATTCCAAATTTCAGTACCTAATTAAAACCAAATAATAATTATGTCTTTAGAAGCCAGGTACAACCAGAAGAGCCCTGGTGAGTCCTCTCAAAGAAGCTATTTTCTTTATTCATCAATTTATTTGTCTATTAATTTATTATGTTTTCAATCTGGAGAATTGAACCCTTTGTTAGTTGAGTAATATAGCTCTGAACTAGACTTCACCAAAAGATGTTTATAATTGTTTTGTATTTCTCATGTTTTTTATATTTAATGCAATAAAGACGTATATCATTGTTATTTTTATTTCAAACTGATTCAAGGGGTGAAACGATTAATGCGAGAAGCCATAGAACTAGCAAACCCTACAGAGGAGTATTACGCATCTCCATTAGACGACAATCTGTTCGAATGGCATTTCACCGTGAGGGGGCCACCAAGCACCGAGTTCGAAGGAGGATTTTACCATGGAAGGATTCTGTTGCCGTCTCAGTATCCAATGCAACCTCCAAATATAATACTGTTAACAGTAAGTCGCTTCCTTGCATAATATTCCCAATAGATTTGTATTTTTATCAAATTAGTTACGATATCATCTTCAGGCTTCACAATAATGAATTTTGGATAAAGAGCTTCTTATTGGGTAATATTCTGTGGGTAAGAATTAACAATTATATATAGAAAACCGTATTTCAAGTTATATTATAAGATTGATTACTATGATAATTGTATGAGACTTTAATCTGATTTAAACTAATTAACTGATTGTTTTTGTATTAGAGGGTTTTTCCGTCTATACCAATTAACAAAACACATAACCTCTCTTTTAAAAGATGAGTTAACTTCTGATTCTTTCAGCCTAACGGCAGATTTGAAGTAAACAAAAAAATCTGCCTGTCCATCTCAGGGCACCATCCGGAGAGCTGGCAACCCTCCTGGTCGATACGGACAGCGCTTCTAGCACTCATAGCTTTCATGCCTACGTCTGCAGCGGGAACAATCGGGTCACTAGATTACACTGCCGAGGAGAGGCAAATCCTGGCAAAGAAATCAAAATCGTGGGAGTGCTCAGTGTGCGGGAAGATTTCGGACAAGCTGTCTTCTTCCCAAAGCACGACTAGTCTTGAATTGACGCAGGAAGAGTCTACGTTGATAAAACAGATAGCACTGAAGGTAATGGGGTTGAAATAAATCTTGATTGAACTCTTGATCCTCTGATTCGCAAATGTTGAATTGGTCTTTCCATTCAAAAAACTTATTCATGTTCTTTTATTCTTTAAGAAAAAGTTTTTCCCGTTTGTCCAATATAAAATTTTGGACAAGAACCACAAATCAACTTGTATACTCCCGATCTATCTGACACTGTAGTTTTCTCTCCATTATTTTTTATGAATTCACTCAAGTTATTTGTTCTGTAGACTACATCAAATTCTTTGGCTTTTAAAAAAACTGACGATATTATTAATAGGATCACCAGAGTAAGAGTTGAATAATGTTTAGTATCATTCTTTGAAACTGGATAGACCTGGTTCAGAGCTTGTTTCTGGAATTTTTTTGAAAGAATGGAGTGAATAATATCCACCTCGTAACCATTGTTGATACCAATATGTCGTTACAAATAACAACACAGATCTGTCTCTTACTTTCACTGTTGCATATCTGTTAGTTTTTATATTGGCCTTCCTGTGAAGAGTTGTATGTAATTCTAGGCCGAAGAAGATTCCAACAGAAAGCCGCCAACTGATGATAAAACCAAAGATGAATCGACCACAGAAAAAGTCGACGGTTCCGATCTGAGACAAAGAATATTTACCAGTACCAATGTCTCTCAAGATGAAGTAATTGAAGAAATAAACATTCCTACCTCCGCCACTGATTCACTACTGGAAGCTTCGATACAGAGAAGTAACAAGTAAGCTTTACTCTGATGTTTTACGGCATTGGTGGGATCCTTGAATTTATAAAGAAAAGTCTTTATGTTTGTGGTGTACACCAGTATTTATTTTGAAAGAGGTTTTCTTTTCAATATGCTTTCGTTTTCTTGCTGGTCTTTTTTTATAAATTTTATTTAGGGAAATGAATGCACTACATTAATCATGTGCAAGTCATATTCTACTGGATTTCATCAGAGTTTTTTTTATATCAAGTTGGAGTAAGTAGAAAGCAAAAACTTTTTTTTCTAACAATTAATCACTCCTAAAGATATAACCCCTTCAATCTAAATCACAAATGTAATATTGGTCTACTGCGCCGAGGGGAAGCTAAGACCATAAAAAAGAGAAGAAGAAAAAAATTTACTTCTTCTTTTCAATAGCCTCAGCAACTAAGGATATCCGGCCATTGTTGTTAAAGCCAAATGGTCCACATGGGGTGAAATTACTATCCAGGGACTTGTCAAACACGGCAAGCGAAAAATAAACATCATCTAGAGATGACAGTTGACACTTGATGATTATAAAGGGTAGCCAACAATGAGAAAATGCAGTTTTTAAGTTTCATGAATGAAATAGGAAATACCAATTGATTAATTTAAATTGGAGATAGTACAGGTCTCAGAAGTGATACCTGTGAAACTCCTAGGTTGATGCATTTATTGGCACTTTTTATTTTTTGTACGGCTTCATACAGTGGTCGAAATGAAATGGTAATCAGGCAACTTTTTTATTTTACATTATAAAAAATGAACCAAATATTTTTTAAAATGTTTTTTGCCTTATTCATTGGTGTTTTGTGTTATAGGGACAAGATGTGGACAGCAGCAATATGGATCATTCTAACCATAATAACGCTGTTGGTTCTAAGGCGATGCTTCCTCTTATAGACTCTCTAGGATCCAATGTGTATATAATACTATTGAATTAGTAAATTTTATATTGCAAAAACGAGTCATATATCCAATTGTGGTTATGATTGTTTTGCCACATTGGGAAGTTTTAATTTATTTTTCAATTTCCACTAGATCTTATTATTTAAAAAAATTTGTTGGTATTATTTTTAAATTTTAAGAAGAAGATTTTGCATTTGGGGTTATATTTGCACAGAGGCGCTTCCGGATAAATGTGTTGTGCACATAACTTATTAGTCCCTTCGTCCTTTGATGAATTCAAGACAGTTGTTTAATTTTTAATAGTTATTGGATGAAACACTTTATTATTATAGTGAAATATATTTATTTAGTGGCTAGATTTTCATTTACTAATCTGCACATCAACTGCAACCAATTCATTGAAGAGTGTTCATTCTGATTGATACCATCAAAAACAAAGCAATTGTGATTCAATACCAGACCCACCGACGTTAGATTGAATCACAAATGCTTTTTCTGATATAGATGTGCAAAACAAATCCGGCTCTGAGGACCAAATATATATATATATATACAGCTGAATACACACAGAGTTCTTGACTGGACACTCGAAAAATCGAAATAGGAGCGGATTTCACGAAATATCAGACAAGATGAATAGTTTTTCATGTATGGGAAAGTATGATAAATATTTTTTCAAGATGTATTTTTGCCATGCAGCATATAAAAAAGGTTTTCTTGTTATTTGTCACAAAACTATTATCCGGCTCGAAGGACCGATATATACAAAATCTGGATCTAATAAATTTCCTCATTCAAATTACACATGAAAAGTATCAGAACATCTCTTAAACCCTGTAAGAGTTTAAAAAACATTGGTCTAAAGCAACATCCCTATTTCATCAAACAATATTCTATGTTGAAATTACCTTTGGTGTGCTCAAGTTTGTAGCTTTTCTTCACTCAGTCATTTCCTGAAAAAAACTATCAAATCGGATGAATTCTGTCTGGAAATGAAACAAAATGAAAAAACCATTCATTTATTCCAACAATCAAGTTATGGGAAGTACAAAAGAGATCTTTATATAAGTTTTGTTTCAATTTGACTAGAAAATATATGTTTGTTTCAGAACACCAACAGCATTATATTAAAAAACTATTCGATATCCACTACGCTAATAACGCTATCACCGTTTGCGGGCTTATGCACCCAAGGCACACCATTGCTCCTCCCTTTCAGAGGCGGCAGTCTGTTTTTGTCAAAGTTATTCATCAAAATTGTGTCTCCGCCAGCCCCCACAAAGTCAGGATGGTCAGTCACCGTATTGCTTATGGTAAAAAGCGAATTGTCAGCCGACTTCAACCTACGGACGGAGTTTGAGTAGTCTTTGCGCCTCTCCTTGGCGGAATGGGGCAACCTCTCTCCGAACAAACTCATCGGAGCCGTTTTGTTCGACCTTGACTTCAATGACTGCTTCTTGGTATTGTTGGTCAGTTGCAGCTGATGTTTCACCATTTCTACGGCAGACTTGGGTCTGTCTGTTAAGGCACTGTTGTTGGTGACATACACCGGAGGGAACGAAATGGAGCTAGAACTACTTTCGCTGCTTGGATCAAGGTTGTCGAATACAACAACGTAATCAGATAATTTTTCTTCCTTCTGCACTTCGCCGTTGATTTTTTTCACATACTCCGAGTACGTTTCAATGGCGTCTTCACTTTTCTTGCTCTCCTCCATTTCTTGAAGGGCCTTTATTCGCTGGATCTTCTTCAGCAGTGCGTCTCTTTCGATCTTTTCTTGCTCCATAACGTCGGCTTCTACTCTCTGATTCAGAGACCCGTATCGCTTGTCGATGTTGCTCAAAAGCCACTCATAGCCTCTTTGAATGCCCGGGTCTAGCTTGTTGGTAGTGTTTTCGTTGGCGGAACAGCTCTGCACTAGCGTTGGGCATTTTTGGACATTCACCATCTGCTCGATGTTCAAGTATTCTATTATGTCAATTTCGTCCAAGGCGTTTTCGTGGTCCTGTTTGTTGGCTAACACTAGGAGTGGTTTCCCAGCTATCTTGTCGTTGTATAAAATATCCTCCAACTCCATTTTCACCTCGCTGAAACGTGAGAAATCGCTCGAGTCAACCACGAAGATCAGACCATGTGCCTGAAAGAGGAATATTGAAAAATATAAGTACTTACATTTTGTAGGTTTTAGACATATCGCCTTAGCTTGAAAAATTAGTGTTTGGGTTGACTTACGTCGACGAAGTATTTGTTCCAGATGCCCCTTATGTTGGGTCCTCCACCCAGGTCAAAAATGCGAACATCATAGTTCGAGTATTTTAAATTTATAACAGAAAACCCCACCGTAGGCACCGGCGAGGTCATGGGATCGCCGGCGAGTCCGTTTGCTGCCCTAGTTTTTCCTGCATTATCTAGTCCCAAGAGCAGAAGAACGATTTTCCTAAAAAATGAAGCCAGTGGTTAGATTCCATACTTTCACCTAAACTCTTAGAGTAAACATTGATAAAACTACTTTAACTGTATGGTACCTTTTCACTTTCCCTTTTCGACAGCATTTATTTCCCATATCAAATCGGAAAATGCTGTTTTTTTTATCAAATTCATTTGATCGGTTTGAATGACGGGACTGAGTTTCAATCACAACAAAAGGGTTAGTTCGTGGACTAAGTCCAGAGTACTACGTAAATAAAAAGTAATATCGTTCTAAAAAATGGACTACGCCGGCTGGAACTAGCAGTTAAAGACAGCAGTCACTTCACATGATCACTTCTATCACTGGAGAAAATTGGGAGATATATATGTAAAGTAGTAATCTTTTAAGAAAAAAATAATAATAAATGCGTCAATGAAAACTATTGTGATTCCGTTACAGTCCCTCTTGTTTTGTGTTCGTAGATCTTTTTCTGGAAAAATCCTCACTTGTTTACTTTGTAGTACATGTTCAAGAGGTAGCAAAAACATATGTTACTTTCTGGAACTCCTTGTGAGGCTCATGCTGTGGAAAGTCATCTTCGTGTCAGTCGGGATTGGAGTCCAGCTCCCCTACCCTTTCGGCTGATTATTGGTCTCGAGAAGGACCAATGGGTTCATGACTGATGGTATGGCGGCATGAAGTCCTCAGACATCAGTGCCGCCCTTCACGGGATACCCCTACCTGGCTGGGGTGGGATGGATGAGAAAGTTGTTCATCCGTTAACGGGGGACATGAGGGCCTCATTCGACAGAGTGTCGGGGCTTTCTATATCGGGAGGGGTCGTCTACAGCATAATCTGTGGCTTCCCTAACTAACGGCTCATGCTGTCTTTAGACAAAGTCTGTTCTACCATCACTTTGTTATTTTCAGCTATTTTCTTAAATTTTAATATCAGAAGAGAAGTATTTATGGAATAACTTGTTCGATTGATGACTTATTTATTTTGTAGAAATTCATGTTGAATATAGAAAATACTTTTGTCTAGTTTCTACTGTGTTTATTCGTTACGATCGGTTATAAGGCCTTTTTCAAGTAACTACCACAAATTGACAAGTTGCGTCTTAAATAGTGTGGCAACATGTCAATTTGTCGAATAAATAAACACAGAAACTAGACAAAAGTATTTTATTTATTCTATATATTTATGGAATGTAGAAAATGAAACAAGACATTATTTTCATTTTATTTGAATTAAACAATACATATTGAAGTAGAAAAGTATATTACATAAAATATTTGGCAGGATACAAAAAAATAATAGTAAAAAACAGAGTTCAAATGAAAAACAAGACAACAGTTTGGAACAAATACAGTTCAACATTTCTGTAAATTCCTCAAATGAATTATCTGAGGAATGAAAATAAAATTCTTTGTTCTCTTTCAATTTCGTGATTTTTATGTTGGATCAAAATTATTGAAGTAAACCATAATTTTGTTTATACTAGGGAAGCCCAAGCTAAAGTTACGGGACTTACTAAAGCGCGGCAGATTAATATACAGCGGGATACTTTGTACTTAGTTGAGTACCTCCACCAAATATGAACCCTTTACCCTATACAAATTGATATTGATACAAAGTGTGTAACTAAGTATTTAAATTACGATGCATGCTGTCAATCGGAATTACTTCAGCAAGTGTTGCGGACAAGATCTGTTGCATGCTTGTGGAGTAATGTTCATAATACAAAAATTACTGATCTTTTACCATTGGACTATGGATGGAAAGGTGTCGACGGAAAGTTCAAAATGATTTGTTTTGCAGGTGAACAATTGCTGAAACCGAATTAAGATGTAGTCATAACATCTGATATTAATGAGGATACTCCAGAATAAGGTATGTCTTTTCAAATTATCTAAAGGAACAGTTTGTTCAGGCCAGTCTCAACTCTCTACCTACACTGTAGGTGGATGGACTGACACCCATCAAATAAATATTACTGGAGTTTTTCAACACCACCAAACCGTTATTTCAACACTAACTGCAGAAAACTTGAACTATTTTCTTAGCGAGCTTTTACAAAAAACAACAGTTTGTAAACGAGACAAATATCACAACAACGGAAAAAAGCCTTTGGCCTGATTTTATATATATATGTATCACTACAATAATTTTAAAATTGCTTCATCTCTGATTCCAAGTTATATCATTCGACATTTTAATTCTTTGAAGTTCCCCTCTTTCGCCTGAAATCAGTTTCATTTCCAGTTAGGGATACAGGAGCCTCGGTTCGATCAATTCTGCCCAGTCGAGCGTATACTTATTCGTTTTACTCGGCTCCTCTACATTCATGAAAAACTTACCCTCGGGTTGTAGGAATTCATCCCCTCCCGCTGAAAATAATGAATACATAGGTCGAGATTATTCTTGAAAAAACCCCTATAAATACTCAAGACAAGAACTTAAAAAAATACTTTCGCCCATGCACAAGGGAAACCTTCTTTTGGGCGCTCCGTATTTATTTACCACGATTTACAGTTAGCAATAGTTATATTCAAACTCTACTTGTATATTTAGTGATTAAATTTTATTGTATTGTATTGGGTGCGTCGGGAGACAGTAATTTTGTTCTGGCGCGAAAAAAGTATTTTCAACTCAGGCATTTTTCTTGATGTTTCATGACGAAAATGGAATAATCATATAGTATTCTTGAGAAGAAATTCAGCAATTTTTTTACGAAACTAAGTAGAGAAGAAAGTAATA